AGAACCTTTTCATCCTTCGTACGCACGTTCCGCTAATGTCTCTCTGTAGTACGAATGGGATTGCGTGCACCGACATCATTGATCCTCTATAAGCGAACTCACGAGCATGTGAGTAAGTGGCTTTTAGTATAGACATGGCACGGTGTTTTGGATGCTTTTCGCATTGGCGTAGATAGCTTGATATGTGGCATTGAAAGGTGCATTGCGGTTACTGAATAGACAAGGTTTTCGATACACCCTTTTACCGTTGTCGGTGCAGTACATTCTTGTTCCATCCAACACACCATCTTGAGTCTAGCGGAACTAATTACGGCTTTCGGATAAAATCTCCGTTCGCTAGCCTGATGATTGATCAAATGATGCAGGTGCAGAGGCAGTACGCGTGTTGCGCTCGCTGGCGTATCGTTTTGGTCTTGTGATCGTGCTTATCTGGCGTTTGCTTGGCGTTGCTTGTTTGGCTAGGGGGATCCGTGTACTTGCATTGCTGGCGACCTGATCTCCCTTGCATTACATCTCTGACTAACTAAAACTACGTGGCCGGCGAGATCATGATGTTGGACGCCTCGTATGTTTAGGTATCGAAGCTAGTATGATGTTGTTGGTGCATCTGTTGCTAGACAGTCGCCATATCCGGTGTGCCTTATCAGTGGTTGATTATTCAGCACAAGGGTGCCTCAGATGACGTATCCGTGCACGTTTTTTGGAAGAGTCATTATCCCGTCTTGACATACGTTGGTGCGTGTATGTTGGGTGTGAAGGGTTCAATGTTGAGGGCTCGTTGCAATGACGCCAAGTCATGCCAAGACTTGGAGTATCACACTCTAGTTGAGCCGCAAACACTATAAGGGTCTCGTGCCCCTTCTAGATCACTGGAAATAAGCCAAATATCGTCTGCTTTGAGAGTTGGCCTTCCTTAATTGCGGGGTTCAGGGAAAGGGTACACATGAGCTAGCCCCGTAAACAGCTAGCTCGTGGGGGAATGCGATCCGCACCTGCCCGAACACAGCATGACCCCACTATTAGGCCGCGTGCTTTGAGCCAATCCCAACGGATTAGCACGTCATTTTTCGCCTTAAGTCTGGGTCGTCGTCGCGCCGCCGTCGCTCTTTCGCAACTCCAGAACGACGCGACATCCCGAGCGACAAACCGAACGATACATGGAGTCGCCGGAAACGCCCGCCGTCCCAGAGACTGCTGCTAAGAAGCGCAGAAGACCAGTCAACGGTACGCGACATGGCCTCTTTATATGGCGATAGGTGTGCTAACAGAGTTTCGACAGCCTGCGCTACTTGCCGTGCGAGAAAGGTAGGATCTCATGGTCTCTTGTATATCATTCCTCTCTTTAGATACCCATACCAAGTCAATGGGTATCCGATGAGCGACCATCAGGTTGTCGTGATGGTCGTAGTTCTGGCGTCGGGGCCTAGGACATCCGGAAAACCATAAATCAGGGCTCAACGTAGCTGACAACCATCTAGGTCAAGTGCGATGAACGCCCAAACGGCTGCCTGAACTGCGAAAGGCTACAGCTAGACTGTGTGCAGAATGGCGGTGTTTCCACTGCCGCGAAGAGACCAAGCACGGCGTACGAGCCTGTTGTAGGCATCAAGCGTAAACGTACATTTCGATCATGCATTCCCTGTCGAGACTCCAAAGTCAAATGCTCCGGCGAACGACCGAACTGCATAAGATGCCAGCAGCGCAGAACCTCATGTGTATACGATGCTGAGCAGGTGGAGCCAGCCTGGGTACAGAGCATTGCGACTCCTGCCTCAGACACGCACGCCGATTCCGTGATGATACCGCCACACACTCCCCGGGATTCTCGAGAGCCTTCTAGGCTACTCGGCTCACTGTCGAACAGCGAGCCTGCTGTAGCTGGGTGTCCGCCGGGCCTACTATGGTATGCTTCACGATCTTACTGGCGTGCATCCAACTTACGAATATGCACAGGTTGTTTTCCCAGCAGCTGCCACCCAGAATCAAACTTCATGCGTTGTTAGATGCTTACTTCAACAACGTCCACCCCATCCGCGTGTTCGCGTTCGAGCACAAGCCCTCGTTCATTCGAATGCTAGACGAAGGACAGCTCGTGGATGCCTCCGATCAAGCTCTCTTGCACATCATGTGTGCATTGGGTGCTCGATTTTACGCTCTCGACTACAGTGAGTCGTTCTCGCCCTTGACGAAAGATCTGATCCAGTCAGCCGGAAGCCAGTGGGCTAAAGTCGCGGAAGAGATGTTCTTTGCTGATTACAGCACCATCTCAATTACCAAACTCAAGGTCTTGGTCTTGCTTCACGACCAGGAAGCTCGCAATGGCAACTATGCTGGGTCTTTTCTTCTTACCGGCCTTGTCATACGTATGGCGCATGCCTTACAGCTCAACAATGAAGTGTCACCAGATGTGCTTTGTAAGGAATTAGGAGGGAGTCCAAACGAGGTTTCTGTGCGAGAGTCGCGTAGAAGACTCATGTGGGCGTGCTATATGATTGATGTCTGGGCTGGTAGTGGCGTCGACCACCTCACTATACTCAATGAAAGAGACCTCAAGATTCAGCTTCCGTGCAACGAGCGTCAGTTCTCACTACAGATCCCGTGTATTACGGAGCGGCTCGAGAGGGGCACACTACTGGAACTCATGTCTCCAGAGGACATTCCAGAGAAGCCGGCGGATAACCTGGGTATGGCTGCGTACTATGTGCGCATTGTCAGTATCTGGCGACGTGTTCTTCGGTGAGTGTGGCTAGGATTAGCTCGTGAGTCTTGATTGCTGACTTGGATTAGGTTTGTGAAACATATGGACGAAGAACAACCGCCGTGGCTTCCAGAGTCAGGATTCGCCGTCCTCATTGAGGACATACAGTCGTGGAAACAAAGCCTGCCATCCTGGCTAGACTTCTCCGCGGACAACATCTACATTCGGCGCGAGACACATCAGCTAGGTGCCCTCCTCCTCATCCACTGCATGTACCATCACGTTATGTGCGACGTCCACAGGATCGCTCTCCCTGACCTGTTCAAAAACCAAGAGCCGTTCGTCTTCCCTACTGATCGACAGGCGTTCGTAAGTCATCTGCAAGATGTCTGCTTTGAGCATGCGCAGCGTATGTCGGTCCTAGTCTCACACATACTCCAACACGGGGTCAAACACTTTGCAGACTCCATACTGCCGTCATTCGTTTACAACAGTAGTCGCATCATGCTCTACTACATCGCTCGGATTCTGGATGTATCAAAGCCTGACGCAGGAACTGTCATTGGTCGTACAGTCGAGCTAGTGCAGTACAACAACCAGGCGTTGCGGGAGATGGCGTTCATGTACCCGCTTGCTGAATCGTTATGTATCACCTCCGAGCGCTGGCTGGAGACTGTACGCGACAGTCTGGCTCGTGGTCACTCTGCTGACTACATTGCGCCTCAGGATCCATCAGAGAATGAAGCGCGGCGCATTGTCGGCGCGCCTGCACCGATGGCTGGCACTCCTAGACAGCGAAATGCGGCCATCTCAGTTATTCCTCCTGTCGAGGAGATACTGTCAGCAACTTCACCCTCGACTCTTCGCACGGCTACTACTCGCTATCCTTTCTCAGCGCCTACCACTGGTCACGGTTCTTCTACTGTAACATCAGGCCAGGCCATGACAACACCATCCGAGAATGCAGTAGGGACCATGTACTCCTCCCCCAGCGCGCCAACTGCTTTCGAGCAGCCCATGTTCAACCTGGACGACCTCCAGAATTTCTTCGGATGGGAAGCAAGTGATGATGAGAATGCGCAGTCCACTGGGTTTGAGGGCTTTGGTCCCTTAGGGTGGGCAAATAATTTCTCCATCATGTAAGTGAGTATTGTATTTGAAAGTTACCTGCTGGGCGTTTGGGCACGGTCTTTCTCATGGTATACCTCCTCTCTTCCGCTAGCATCGACGCGGTAGGTTCTCGGCCATTTTGATTCGTAACTAGAATGATTCCTCTTTAGGAGCAATATTAACTTTCTAAACGCACTTTGACTGGCCATAGTGGGTAGCTAACTCAGTACCATCGTGATTCGAGTGGTAAGGTGCCGCTTATCCGCGCAGCATGGTCCAACAGTGATGCAACTAACGGACACCGACATGCATAGTAACAGCCAAGCCCAAAAGTCGGGTATTTGGTACTTTGCCGCTCTACCAAGGCTCTTGGTAAAAGCATTTATATGTATGAGACTCATCCTGTCCACCTCGCACCACCACAGCCCGTACCTCAATATGAGCGAAACAATACCATTAACTAGCGCATTGAGCGCAAGACAAGCTGCCCTCAACAAATTCGTACAGCAAAACTGGTACTATTGGCGCTATCTTTACATACCCGGGACCTTCCTCTTCATGCTTGGTTCCCTCAGCCTCGCGTATGCGGTACATATGGATCGAGCGCGCCCGCACGAGCTCCCCAAACCTCGAAGGACATTCTCGTTCCTGTTCTACGTGCTGGGGCATCAGCTACTACTATACGGTGTTCTGGTCTGTTCGTTCTGGTATATGCTCAAGGATGAGCGTCCTGGATCGGGGATCGCCCGCCTTGATGCCGACAAGAATGCCATGGGATCGATTAAGCAGAATGACCGCGCCTTGGGTAATGGCCCCGACTATCTCGTGGAAGGACATGCAGTCCCATCAAACAATGCTCGCGCTATCCCGCTAGTTAGGTCTGCTATCACTGTCGCAGCTTCGGCTTTGGGCGTCGTCGCCGTGGTGGCCCGATATAATTGTCTAGACAGCGAGTGTCCATTTCAACGGAAATGCTACGTAGTGAGCATTGTATGCGTTACAATCGCTTTTTCAAGATATCTTTGGGGTTTTCTCGAGTACGTTCGCAAGATTCGGACGCACATGAGGAATAACGCGGACTGGGCCGGAGGATGACACTGAGCTAAGGGTGGGTTGAATAGGGCACCCGAAGAAGGTAGATGCGAGAGTGTTGTGGTGTATCTGATAATTTGTTCATTGAACTTCATGAATGTTACTTGCCCTGCAAGCCCATATGCCAGTCTTCGCGTAACGAGTGGTCAGCTACCGAAAATATGTCCAACCATGCTTCACTGCCCGTAGCCATGCCACGCCCGTATACATTTGTATCATGAATACTGTTCTGGACAACATTCGTTTTCGTCCAGTATGTGCAGGCGACATTTCCATCTGGCGATATGGCTTCTATCATGAGCATCTTGTTCTGCTCTTGCAAGACTGGAAACTCCGCTTGGAACCAAAGGCCTCCCTTGTTGACATAACCTGGAGTATCTGCGCCCGGTCCGATACTGGCGTCCATGACTGTTGCGAAAACTTCGCATAGCGACGCGAAGGCTTTGGACATGTTGGTGTAATACTGTGTTCGCCAGGTTTCGTTGTTCATGATGCAGCGCAATGGATTCGTTCTCGTGGCTTCGCTGTTGTAGTATTGTTTGGGCCAGACATCCTGTGCTTGATCAGCAAAATGCGGGGACTATGTAGCGAAGATGCAAATACCCATATTGTTGTCATAGGAGACTCGCCATTTGGTCTGGTTTTCGCGTAACGGCGCGCGGTCTCGCTCAAGCCGCGCGTGTAGAACAGACAGAGGTTAGGTTCAGGTCGCAATGTTGCTTCCGCTTGGAATAACTCGATGGTGTATTTATCGACGGTGTCCCAGGTCGCCTTTGAGCTGTGGGTTTGGGTGCAGTCATCGTCCTTATGCTCTAGCGGAGCAGCTCTGGTGACGAGGAAGAATTGGTAGAACGCGATAACAAAGGAAATGAGCTTCATAGCGAAGTTGAAGTGTAACGGATTTGGGGTGAGGTTTCCTATGCAGCAGGGTGGAGCTGTATCTAACATAGGTGTAAGCGGCCCCCAACGCCTATCTATGGCGAGGCTGAGTGTCAGGCGTGCAGGCTCGGCGCCTGCGCCCTGGCGTCAAGTTTGCGCATCTCGTCGGGTTAAATACCAAGGATAAGTTCGCACCTCACACGACCAACCTGACCTCTTCGGTGATCTGGTATGCCTCCAATGCTCACTGTTCAACAGCACCTAGATAGTCAAGGCTCACTCGGATCAATCGTGGACCGCGCCAGCCAGCGATTGTGCCAGGAACAACATCTCAACGGTGTGCCATGCACACTTCAAATGAAATCACGAACAGATCGCTAATTGAAACATCTCGGCTACGGAAATGGGAAATGGTGGATGGTGGGTAGAAGACAATAGGTGGCAAATTGCGAGATGGTGGCTGGTAACCAAGCGCCCGCACTGCCCTGCCCAGACGCGATCTCGGGTGCGTCGGAATAGAGTTAGCTTGCCCCCGCATTTGTCCTAGTTGAGCCGAACGATCACAGTGCCGACGTATCAGTCATTACTACAGTTCCAGGGCACGAAGGCAGCAACACCATCTTGCTTTCTTCTTATATATGGGTATAGTACGACTAGCGTCACTACGACGGGAGATATATTTATGTCACGTACTTGAGTGTTTACTATTGACTTGGGCAGCAGGTGGAGTATGACATGAAAGATAGGTACGTTTCTAGATTGACAGTACAGATACATTGAGCCTAACAATCAAGTTCGCTCACTTTTGACTTCAAGATCGCACTCGTACCTTAGGCGGTGATGCGGTTTAGAAAGTCTGCTCTCCTCATATCAGGCGCCAGCCGCCGCGAAACTCACTAGCCACGACGATTCCGGAAATGTTTCTTCGCTCTGTCAGTGGGACGACCCGTTTTTCGCTTGCTCCCCACCCAATGTCCAGCCACTTCGCAAACACCTCGATCTAGTGCTGGGATTTTCGCGTTTCCAAATATCTCGTCTGTAGTCAATTTCCATGGTTGACCTCCCACGTCTGAAGCCATCAGCGTCGTTGTCGGGTTTACGTAGTTCAAGAAGAAACGGTCCATCGTGATTCCGAGTGCTTTCGCTCTCATAATGTCTCCATGTATGAGCGTTGGGTAAAGGGGCCGTCCGATGTAGTAGACGCTGATGGAGCGCAGATCTGGAAGATAAGTGGTCGGATCGACAACAGTGTCGTTCAGCAAGCGTCTCACAAACCCCGTAGTGAGACCCATACAGTCAACAATAGTCAAAGACTTGAGGCTCACCGGCAACACCGAGAACAAAAGTCCGTTGGCCAGCACGACGTGACTAGGTGGAAGCGCAGACTCCGGAATTATCAACGTTTGTAAGTCATCGAAATGGTAGTATATGGGCGATATCAGGTAGGCTCTGGAAAGTGTTATACCACTCCACGAGGATGGCAGCTCCAGCTTGGTGAGGCGAGAGTACTTGGACTCGAAGACTTGAGCGAGGTACTTGTGCTCTCGTAGTTGTTGCGTCGAGGGGTCATTGGTCCAGTGACGTCGGCCATCAACCTGCGGACTCATTGGTCCTTGCCACGGGTCTGCATCCCTGAGCAACATCGGATAGTGAAATACATGGCCGCCACCAAGAAGTAGTTCCTCGAGATTTGGGAGTATAGAAAGAAGCAGAGCAAGGAAAGCGTTGTTGTGACCTGATCGGAGCGCGTCTGCCCACATCCGCTTGTTCCGGTTGCTAACGTCCTCAGCCTCCCGGATGGTGTTTAGGCAATCTGTCCGGAAAGTGACCTCGGCCTCGATAGCGAACTGCCTCGACGGCATTCTCGACCGGCGTTGCGCATCCCCGTACTGTAGAAGTCCAGCGCGCAATTTGCGCCGAAGATGACATTCTCGGGAACTGCTCCAGGGTCTTCGCATGCAGCCGTCTTCATCGCCGCCGTAGTTTGCTTTCCGAGCCTCAGGAGTCACATAATTTGTGATTTCGAGAGACTTGACTTTATCCGCCCATTCGTTAGCGGGAAAATCCCGAAGCGTTCGGAACAAAGCGAATGCTTTTGGGAGTGGAACCGTAAGTGCTTTAAGCTCGTGAAAGGTGGTTCGAACGACTTTGGGGAAGCGACTGTTCGCGGCGGCAAGAGATGTTAGGTTTCCGTAGGCGCTTCGGTCAAAGCGCGGCTCGACTATAAGTTGAGGGATGATTTGAAGAAGTAGCTCGTCGGGGAGGTCCCTGATACTGGCCTTGGGGATACTGCTGGCTGTAGAGAACGACATGGCTGACGATTAACAGTCTGCGAGCGTGCGGAGGAATGAGTTGACGAATAGAGAGTATCAATAGCAGTGACTACATGAAGGAAAAGAATTAAGTATTCATAGGCAGATGTTAGTAGGCACCCGTCTGACTCCATAAGTGCCCTTCTATCCGTTCGGTTAGGGTAGACATGGTAGGAGGTGCGGGGCAATGGGGTCGAAAGGCAACCAAAGAAGGCGAGATAGGGAATGTTCAAGCAAGATTCTCTAGCCAACATGTGCTGTTGCCTGGAAGGGGCTTCAGTCTCGAGTGAAGCCAAATCCTGAAATGGTCGCATAAACTGTCTCGATATAATGGGTAACAAGTGCAATAGCCAAGAGCGACCTCCATTCGATAGTTGACAGTAGCGGACGTGGTGTACAGTATGGAAGACTGCCGCCCACTCCAGTAGAGCCATCGACACATATGGTAGGGTCGTCAAGGAAACCGCGAGAGCTGCTATGCGCCTCTGTTGCACGACCGCATGTGCATTATCGCGCCACCGACAATTGCTGTGAGTACTTCCTATCGTGGCTTGTTGTTCGCGAGCATATCCGGTCTGTCGCTGGTATCGATCCTGTCTTTATGCTCAGTGCTGAGTAGGCGACAGACGAGACTTCTGATGAGACCATCGAGTACATCGACACAACCGTAACAGTGAACGTACTTCGACCTCCTCGAGGGCGACATCAATGCAGCCCCGGCGTAACAGGGACTTGTATGTGGTCAAGTGGTGGAGGAGCAATCCCTGCGTCTATGAAACGGACGTCTACGTACTCGAAGGGCCTGATAGGGGGCGTCTTTCGAGGGACAGCTCTCTGATACTGCCGGTGTTCATATCCTGTCCAGTACGCAGTGTGACTGCACCTCGAGATACGGCATCGGACCGTGCAAGATTTAATGTGGTTCTGCGGCCAGTGCCCTTGCATTCATAAACGGTCCAGGGGCGGGAGGCTGCTGACTCGGACCGATTCGATCGCTGAAGTGATCGTCCACCAACGGTTTTCTCCGCAGCTCAAGGCACATGCTTTTCGTTGTCGTTACTGATGACAATTCTCAGGCAGAGCTTGCCGTGTGACATCGTCGAACTGGGCGAAAAGATACATAGTACGACTGCACCTACAATCCGGTGAAAGACTAGCATAGTGGCCTTGGGACTACCAATTCAATAGTCAGAAGACTTGAAGCTGAGGTTTGCGTGTAGCTCGACACGGGCACTCGATGTGGAGCAGGCACGTGGCGTGGAGACGCGTCGGGAAATTGCTGGTAGCCCAATTCGTTCAGACAACGCTAATCCTCCACCAGTTTGGTAAAGCTAGAGTCAAGACACGGGTAAAATCTCCAACGGCCGTCTCGTAGTTGTAGCGCGATATCAACAAAAGGCTGCGTCATGGAAGGTTTACCGTGCGCGTTGTGAAGGCACTAAGCTGTATTGGTCAACGCTACGCCGCTTGGGGAACATTCGGACCGATCCAGGAAGGAGTGTGCCTGAGTGCTGGCTTCCGACGATCGCGCAAAAATACCACCGTACTTTCTGTAAAACCGCGACCCAGTAGTTTGCGCGACCACATAATGGACTGCAACTTCAAGTATACTTGAGTAGCTGGAGACAACAAACTGCAGGTCGTCTATACTAGAAGACGCGCATACGGGCCGATCGTTCACGTTGTAACGGTGAGATGTGGCAGAGCGGACTGCAACCCACTGACAAGGAACAAAGAGCCGCTCTGAGAACGACCAATGCAGCGTCGATACCAGTGCGATGGCAGCCCTATCTAAGCTTTTCTCACTGAATGGGTCATACCAATGAGTCGCAGGAGACGTCTACGATAGTCCGCATCGAAGCCGCGAGTTCCGCGCCCTGGCAGTTCTACCCCTGATGCCGATCCCAATCGACACCAACACGATGACCTGAAGCGCACAGGTTATGACTCGGGACTGTTAGAGACACAGCAAAATAGGAAGAGCTTTGGGAGACTGAAAGCGGCGTCGCGCATGGCGCATGCCCTTGAAGTCATCTTGATTAAGGTTCCTCTTGGTAAGGCGAACTAAATGAATCCAGGGATGCATACCTGGAAAAGTCACGACCAGCAGTACCTATGCCAAGCTGCCAGCCTCAAGACAAGATACGGTGAGGCTGTCAAATCTGCCATACTCCAGCTAGAAATTACTCGAGCGGGGCAAAGGACCCGTGCTGGTGGTTTCCACCTTTGTGGGGTCACCAACAGCGATCTACGTTCATGATACCACTTCATAATGGCCGAATGCATGGGTCTCTCCAGTGGATCAACTACGGACACCCTGGAATCAGGCTTCGTCATGTCGATCGACATCCTACTGGTCTTCCTAATGCACACAACGGTGATATACCGGACATTACTGTGCTGCCACACTTGTACA